GACACCTACTCTAAAACTGACCACATAATTGGAAGGAAATCACTCCTCAGCAAATGCAAAAGAATGGAAATCATAACAAACAGTCTATCAGACAACAGTGAAATTAAAGTAGAACTCAGAATTAAGAAACTAACTCAGAACCTCACAACTTCATGGAAACTGAACAACTGGCTCCTGAATGTCGACTGGATAAACAATGAAATGAAGGCAGAAGTAAAGATGTTCTTAGAAACCAATGAGAATGAAGAAACAATGTACCAGAATCTCTGGGGCACATTTAAAGCAGTGTCTAGAGGGAAATTTATAGCAATAAATGGAAGCAAGGAAAGATCTAAAATCCAGATCCTATCATCAAAATTGAAAGAGCTAGAGGAGCAAGATCAAAAAAATCAAAAGCTACCAGAAGACAAGAAATAATTAAGATCAGAGCAGAACTGAAGGAGATAGAGACACAAAAAAATCCTTCAAAAAATCAATAAATCCAGGAGCTGGTTTTTTGAAAAGATCAACAAAATAGATCACTAGCCAGATTAATGAAAAAGAAAAGGGAGAAGAATGAAATAGAGGCCAAAAAAAAAACGATAAATGGGATATTACCACTGACTCCACAGAAATACAAATTACAATTGGAGATTACTGCAAAAAGCTCTATGCACATAAACCAGTAAACCTGGAAGAAATGGATAAATTCCTGGACACCTGCACCCTCCCGAGCCTAAACCAGGAAGAAATAGAAACCTTTAACAGACCAATAACAAGGGCTGAAGTTGAGGCAGCAATTAATAGCCTACCACTAAAAAAAGTCCAGGTCCAGATGAGTTCACAGCTGAATTCTACCAGACGTACAAAGAGGAGCTGGTACCATTCCTTCTGAAACTATTCCAAACAATACAAAAAGAGAGAATCCTTCCCAAATCATTTTATGAGACCAACATCATCCTGATACCAAAACCCGGCAGAGACTCAACAAGTAAAGAAAACTTCAGGCCAATGTCCATGATGAACATAGATGCAAAAATCTTCAATAAAAACCTGGCAAACTGATTGCAACGGCACATCAAAAGCTTATCCATCGTGATCAAGTAGGCTTCATTCCGGGGATGCAAGGCTGGTTCAACATACACAAGTCTATAAATGTAATCCACCACATAAACAGAACCAAAGACAAAAACTATGTGATTATCTCAATAGATGCAGAGAAGGCCTTTGACAAAATTCAAAAGCCTTTATGCTAAAAACTTGCAATAAACTAGGTATTGAAGGAACATATCTTAAAATAATAAAAGCTATTTATGACAAACCTATGGGCACTATCATAATGAATGGGCAAAAGCTGGAAGCATTCCCTTTGAAATCCGGCACTAGACAAGGATGCCCTCTGTCACCACTCCTATTCAATATAGTATTGGAAGTTCTAGCCAGAGCAATTAGGCAGGGGAAAAAAAGAGGTATTCAATTAGGAAAAGAGGAAGTCAAATCATCTCTATCTGCAGATGACATAATTATATATTTAGAAGACCCTATTATCTCAGCCCCAAATCTCCTTAAACTGATAAACAACTTCAGCAAAGTCTCAGGATACAAAATCAATGTGCAGAAATCACAAGCACTTCTATACACAAATAACAGACTGACAAAGAGCCAAATAATAAGTGAACTCAATTCACAATTGCTACAAAGAGAATAAAATACCTAGGAATAAAACTAACAAGGGTGTAAAGGACCTCTTCAAGGGGAACTACAAACCACTGCTCAAGGAAATATGAGAGGACACAAACAAAAGGAGAAACATTCCATGCTCGTGGTTAGGAAGAATCAATATTGTGAAAATGGCCATACTGCCCAAAGTAATTTACAGATTCAACGCTATCCGCATGAAGCTACAAATGACCCTCTTCATAGAACTGGAAAAAACCACCATAAACTTCATATTGAACCAAAAGAGAGCTCACATAGCCAACATGATCCTAAGCAAAAAGAACAAAGCTGGAGGCATCACATTACCTGATTTCAAACTATACTACAAGGCTACAGTAATCAAAACAGCATGGTACTGCTACCAAAACAGAGATATAGACCAATGGAACACAACAGAGGCCTTAGAGGCAATACCACACATTTACAACCATCCGATCTTTGACAAACCTGACAAAAACAAGCAATAAGGAAAGGATTCCCTGGTTAATAAATGGTGTTGGGAAAACTGGCTAGCAGTATGCAGAAAGCAGAAACCGGATCCCTTCCTGACACCTTACACTAAAATTAACTCCAGATGGATTAACGACTTAAACATAAGACCTAACACCATAAAAACCCTAGAAGAAAACCTAGGCAAAACCACTCAGGACATAGGCATAGGTAAGGATTTCATGACTAAAACACCAAAAGCATTGGCAACAAAAGCCAAAATAGACAAATGGGGCCTAATTAATCTTCAGAGCTTCTGCACAGCAAAACAGACAATCATTAGAGTGAACTAACAGCATGGGAAAAAATTTTTCAATCTACCCATCTGACAAAGGGCTAATATCCAGAATTTACAAAGAACTAAAACAGATTTACAAGAAAAATCAAACAAACCCATCCAAAAGTGGGCAAAGTATATGAACAGACACTTTTCAAAAGAAGACATATGAGGCAAACAAACATATGAAAAAATGCTCATCATCACTGGTCATTAGAGAAATGCAAATCAAAGCCACCTTGAGATACCACCTCACGCCAGTTAGAATGGCGATCATTAAAAAATCTGGAGATAACAGATGCTGGAGAGGATGTGGAGAAATAGGAACACTTTTACACTGTCGGTGGGAATGTAAATTAGTTCAACCATTGTGGAAGACAGTATGGTGATTCCTCAAGGATCTAGAAAAAGAAATTTCATTTGACCCAGCAATCCCATTACTGGGTATATACCCAAAGGATTATAAGTTGTTCTATTATAAAGATGCACATGTATGTTCATTGTGGCACTGTTTAAAATAGCAAAGACCTGGAACCAACCCAAATGCCCATCGACGACAGACTGGACAAGGAAAATGTGGCACATATACACCATGGAATACTATGCAGCCATAAAAAACGATGAGTTTGTGTCCTTTGCAGGGACATGGAGGAACCTGGAAACCACCATTCTCAGAAAACTGACACAAGAACAGAAAACCAAACACCGCATGTTCTCACTCATAGGTGGGTGCTGAACAACAAGAACACATGGACACAGGGAGGGGAGCATCACACACTGGGGTCTATTGAGGGGCAGCCAAGGGAGGGACAACAGGGAGGTGGGGAGGTTCGGGAGGGATAACATGTGGAGAAATGCCAGATGTAGGTGACAGGGGGATGGAGGCAGCAAACCACATTGCCATGTATGTACCTACACAACAATCCTGCATGATCTGCACATGTACCAAAGAACCTAAAGAACAATGAAAAAAAAAAGGACTGAAGTATCAATGCATGCTACAACAAGGATGAACCTTGAGAACATTGTGCTATGTGAGAGATGCAGATGCAAAAGGCCACGTTGCATTATTCCATATGCAGGAAATGTCCAGAACAAGTATATCTAGAGAGACAGAAGGTAGATTAGTGGTTGTCAGGGACTGCCAAAATGGCGGAATTGGAGAGTGACTGCCAGTAAGAGTAGCATGCTTTTTGGCATTATGAAAGTATTCTGGAATTAGGTAGTGGTGATGGAATCAAAACCTTTTGAATAAGCTGAATAGTATGCTTAAAAATTGTGAATTTTGTGGCATATAAATTATACTTTAGAAGATTATACTTTGGAAGGAATAATTATAACAGTAATAAATTGAGGGATCTTTTCACATCTCCATTCCCTATATTTTTATTTTGATTAAAAAAAAAAAAAAAAAAAAATTGAATACAAAATCTAAAATGCTCCAAAATCCAAAACTTTTTGAGCACCCACATGATGCTCAAAGGAAATCCAAAAAAAAGCATTTTAGGGCCATGTTCTGTGGCTTGCTCCTGTAATCCCAGCCCTGTTGGAGGCCTAGGTGGGAGGATTGCTTGAGGCCAGAAGTTTGAGACTAGCCTGAGCAACACAGCAAGACTTTATCTTCATAAAAAATTTAAAAATTAGCCAGGAATGGTGATGTGTGCTAGAGTTCCAGCTACTTGGGAAGTTCAGATAGGAGGATCACATGAGCCCCGTAGTTTGAGGTTGCAGTGAGCTATAATCACTGCATTTCAGCCTGAGTGACAGAACCAGACCCTGTCTCAAAAAGTGACATCTCACAGTAAGTGGCCAGAAGAGGATGCTGAGGAAGAGCACGTTGTGAGGAAATGTATTAGATGAAACAAATTAAATTCAAAAACTTTCTTTTGGCAGAATTGAGGTACAGGGGAGAGAAACACCTACTTGGAAAGAGCCCACTCTTTCCAACTGAGCTGGAAAATGTGGGAAGGGGTTTGTGGGAGGGGGACTGTACCTGATATCTGGTTCCAGTACTTACAGCAAAGGGAACTTGGGCAAGTTACAGACCCTCTGTGCCTTGGTTTCGTCACCAACAAAACAGAAAGAATCATCCCATAAACTGTGGTATCAGAGGGTCCCCAAACTGACTGCACATCTGAGTCATGTTAACAAACACCTTCCAGGCCCCACCTGAGCTCACTGAATCAGAATCCCTGCAAGGAGGACAATAAACTTGTATTATCACTGACCTTCCCAGGTATTTCTTACTCTGATCAACTTGGGGTTAGGAACCATTGAGCTGCACATCATTCCAAACCAAAACACTAAAGCAGAGCAAGAATATTTTCAATGCAGTCACTACAGCTGAGGAGAAACTGTTGGGGGAGCCTAGAAGTGAGGGAGGTCTGGCTCTCTGGGCTCTCCTGAACCTTAGCCTGAGTACAGCAGACACAGGAGTCCTTCTGGACACATGCCTGTGGGAATGGCAGTCCAGTATTGAAAGAGTGGAAGCCCTAGTTTCAAATTCAAGCTTGCTTTGAGTTGAAATAAAGTTTACCTCTTTTGGCACAGCAACAGGACCAATCTTCTGCAAACTGCTCACCTTACAAGAAAAAAAATCATACTGCCAAGAATTGAAACTTCAGCAGACATGGGTAAGTAAAAAAGTCTTATAACTCTAACCAGCCACATAACAAAAGATAAATACCCAAATTAAAGAATATGTAATGCTTACGAAATTCTTGAGACCTTTCTACTTACTTGCTGTTTTAAAGTTTCTATTAAAAACAAAAAGGCCAGCCAGGGCAACATAGCAAGACCTCATCTCTAAAAAATTAGTCAGGTGCAGTGGTGTGCACCTGTAATTCCAGAGACTCAGTAGGCTGAGGAAGGAGGATTGCTTGAGCCCAGGAGCCCGATACTGCAATGAGCTATGATCACCTGGACAACAGGGTGAGACCTTATCTCTGAAAAAGAGGAAGAAACAAAAAGAGGGAAAGAAAGGGATGTGGCCAATTAACCTGATTCAAATAAGGTGACTGTTTCAAAGGGGAGGGGAGATGTTTTGACCCTCCTACCTTTGAAGCAAATACTTGTCTTACCTGCAAAACTGGCTTCCTGTATCTGGCCCGAAGACTAAAGAGGAGTCCAGAAGGTTTGGACTTCTAAGAACAAAAGAAAGAAAAAAGAAAAAGAAAGAAAAGAAAAAAGAAAGAAAAGAAAGAAAGAGAAAGGAAGAAGAAAAGAAAGAAGAAGGAAAGAAAGAAGAAAGAAAGAAAAGAGAAAGAAAGTAGAAAGAAAGAAAGGAGGGAGGGAGGGAGGGAGGGAAGGAAGCAATGAAGGAAGGAAAGAGAGAAATCTCACAAAGAGCTTTACAATCTTTGATATTACTCCTAAGATTCAATAGGAGTAATATCTGAAGACCTCTGCTAAGCATTGTTGCAGAAGAAATAAAATAATTTTTTTCTCTTGATATCCTGAAACTTCCATCTAAATAGTTTAAAAATAATCAAGTCAAGACTGGCCTAGAGGAGAAAGGCATTCCTAAATTAGGTGAGGTTCTAAAACAATCAGTTGAAATGTAAACCCATGGATCAAAGTCTGCCTTCCCATAGACCCTGGGGTGAAGCACACTGGCCTGGGCAGAGAACTCCCTAAGAAAAGTGATGGTCATTTACTTCTGCACAAAGTCTCTAACATGGCCCCTGACGTTGTGGGCTGGTTGCGTAAATGTTGAACGAGTCACCAGAAACAGCATCTCCCCAAAAGTCCTGGAGGCCTTTGTCACTAAGAAAAGTAGCTTTTTTTTTTTTAAACGGAGTTTTGCTCTGTCGCCCAGGCTTACAAGTTCAAGTGATTCTCCTGCCTCAGCCTCCCAAGTAGCTGGGATTACAGGCGCACAGCACCAGGCCTGGTTAATTTTTGTATTTTATTTTGTAGAGACGGGGGTTCACCATCTTGGCCAGGCTAGTCTCGAACTCCTGACCTCAGGTGATCCACTCGCCTCAGCCTCCCAAAGTGCTGGGATTACAGCCATGAGCCACCGCGCCTGGCTGGAAAGTGGCCATTTTAAGAAGAAGGTTAAGAACATGTTTCGCTGGGTCATATTATTCTGGTGACACGGCTCACAGAGGAGAATCCCACCCTTACTCCAAAGCATCTCTGGGAAGGGCGGGGTTGGCTTCACCCTCTGCCCAACGTCTCTCCAGACTGCCGATGCCAACTTCCGGTCGCTCACCTCATCGGAGTTCGGGTAAAACGCGGAGCTCCAGTTTCTCAGTCCCTCCTGGAGCTCGATGATGTCCACCACGCCGTCCCCATTGCGGTCCAGGTCTTCGAAAAGGATCCCGTAGCGTAAGTAGTCATCGTCATCCTGGCAGGCCACCGCCTCCAGCAGGAAGTCCTGCAGCCAGCGCAGCATGGCCGGGTCCGGAGGCTGAGGGGACCACTCGGCCCGCTCGCCCACACCGCGACACTCGCCGTTGCCTCCTCCACGCCCGGCTGCCCACGGCAGTGGGTCCCGGCTGTCTGTCGCTTCCTATACTGCCTGGCGAAGGCGCCGCGGTTCGGAGCCCACGCGGGCCAGGCCACCGGCGCCTGCGCGCTCTCGGGCGCCCCGGAGAGGACCCTCGGCGGAACCTCGGGGCGCCACCTTGTGGCATGCCTGACGAGACGCCACGCGACAGTTGAGGCGCCAGATGTGAGTTGAGGTGCCGGACGTGGTGGCGTTGGGTAGCCAGGACTGCTGGACGGGCGGTCGACGTGGGAGCCGAGGGACGTTTGGGAAAAGGGAGCGCATTCCCCAGGTGGCGTCCAGAGGGCACTCGCGGATGTAAGATTCTCCCCGCACAGACTCGGTGCCTGCCGGAAGCCACTGTGGCGGGAAATGAGGCAGGGAGTGAGTGGCTCAGACCCGCTCTCCTGATGCCAGCATCCAGTACCCTGGTGCCACCCTTCCTCCCAGGAGGACCTGCACCTGGGGCTGGGGACCCTGGCGACCCCGCAAAAGAGGTCTGAAGAGGGGAGGCCTCCTGAGGAGCTTCTGCCCTGTCCCTGTCGCTCTCTTCCCTCCCTGCCAGCCCAGCCCTTGTTGGCAAACCTATTTTGGCCATAATGCGATTAGATTGTTCACGTTCTTATATAAACTTTTTCCAGTTAATTGAGTTGTATGCAGAAATACTTCTATCCCTATTCATAAAATAAAAATAAATAATAAAGATACATACAGATTAAAATTAGAACATATCTCCAAATCCAGAAATATGAAACACACATCATGACAGTTCCAATTTATATGCCACTTTTCTATTCATAAATTTTGTTCTAAAACATAGAGAAAAAATAAATAGCAAAATAAAGAGGAGCTGAAGAATTCAAGAGTATTTTTCCACTATGCATTTATTTTAAATCAATCTCTGATTTGTATTATCTATAGAGCTATTGAGGGATCCAGTTGCCATTTATTTTTCCTCTATAGTTCAGAATAGAAATTCGTTGATATGAATTTATATAAACTTGTTTATACAAGGTTAATTTCGAATTGCTTTTTAATTACGAGGCATGGTAACACATAATTTCTCAAGATGTGCTTTATATTAGTCACATTTATGTGACCTTTAGGAACTTGATTATAAGTTTAAAATGCTTCTATTAATCGTATTAAGAAAAAAGAGGGAGATTGGGTGCAGTGGCTCACACCTTAAATCCCAGCACTTTGGGAGGCCGAGGCGGGAGGATCAGGAGTTCAAGACCAGATTGGCCAACATCGTGAAACCCTGTCTCTACTAAAAATTACAAAAATTAGCTGGGCATTGTGGCACGTGCCTGTAATTCCTGCTACATGGGAGGCTGAGGTAGGAGAATTGCTTGAACCCAGACCCTGGAGGTGGAGGTTGCAGTGAGCCGAGATCGCGCCACTGCACGCCAGCCTGGGCTACAGAGCGAGATTCCATCTCAAAAAAAACAAAAAAAGAAAAAAAAAAGGGAGAATCTGACTAAAAATTGACGTTGGTTACTCAAATGTATCTCAATTGTGCATTTATATTCATTTCAATTTGTAGAAAATTTAACAACTTATTTCATGATTAATCATTTATTAAGTACCTTATCGCTTAGAAAATTAAATTTCTCTGATTTCGCAGCAAATTCAATCATGGCATTTAACAAGAGGGAAAAGAATTATATCAAATATTATTTTGAGTTTCAACCCTGTGAGAGTAGATTTTACTTACATTTTAATAACCTTGAGAAGTATGATACAGCCCCAAATATTAAAGTAACTGAAACTCTGTTATCTATCCAATGGCAGAAATATCTATGTCCTGAAAAACTGGAAAAAATGGACTCATCTAATATAGTTACTAGTTGTTTGATATATTATAAATTATATAATGTATAGTTATATCCATTAAATCTCCATTTTAAAACTATCTAATCTTTATAATGTAGCTATACATAGACATATTAAAATATCTTTAGCCTATTCTCTCTCAACATAAATTGAAAAGATAGAGGCAAAAAAAGCAGGGATGGATAAAAACACTCTTCATCCTTCATACAAGATTAAGATTGTAAAGGGAAGTTCCAGTCAGCCTTTCTTTAGTAGATCAGAGTCTGAAAGTAAAGTATAAAGTACATGGATTAAAAAAAGAAAAGCGCAGTCTTTTTTGCCTTTTTTAACACAGATTTGAGTGTAAGAGCTCACACATTTTTCTAAATTACTTTGGTCACATTGGTGCTTTCTTGTAATGTTTATAATGTTGGTGAGAGGCCACCATTATTCTATTCACAACACTGGTAGGAGACCGAGGTATTCTGATGCCATGAAATTCTGTTTAGCACTTTCCGTTTTGTTTTGTTTATTTTAGAGAAAGAAAAGGAGCCCAAACTGCACTGTTGGGCTATGAATCATAATTTTAAATGTGTGAGTTTTCTGTCAGTGCTTTCAAACAGATTTAAAATATGCACATATGGCAAGGAGAGGTCAAAAAGAAAAATAAATTTAAAATGCACGTAAAATGCTGAAATTTTAGCTTTTTAAAATACAAAGTAGAAAATTCAGAAAAGCTTCAAAATAGTCCAACTCTTTAAGATGAAATTATACTAGGTTAATTATGTAATTAGGTTACATTCTGTATTATAAATTATATTTTAATCCACTTAAAGGCAAATTTCTATGACTGTATGAAAATTTGGAGAAATAAAAATAGATTTTATGAATATTAAAGATTTTAATTCACCCAGAAATTAATAAACTATATTTCTAGTTTACTTAAAATTTAATATTTAAGTCTAATTGTATGTTTACCTTTTGGGAAAATGGATATAGCATCTTTTCATACAGATCTTTTGAAAACTAAGGAAAAGGCCAAGACATTTTTATATTTATAAACAAATATCCAGATA